CAGTGGAGCTGTTCCCGGCAGAGCGGCCCGTCCCACGCAGCTTTCCCAAGGAGAGCTTGGAGATCCAGCCTAAACGCTCGAAGCTCCTTGCCAGTGTCAGCTCCTGTGGATGGCAAACTGCAGACGGAACGAGGTTCTGCGAGCAGCAGGGGCTTCTAGAGGTTTGTCAGAAGGTCGAGTTTGTATTAGTTTGCTTTTTCCCGTTTCCAGGACGTCTGGGCACAAGTTATTTTAAATCAATTAAATAATCCTTTGGACAGAAGACTGGGTTATGCTCAGGCCTTAGAAGCCACAGGCTTTGACTGTTTTTCCTTGGATGGAAAGTGCTTGTTTATAATTGCTGTTAAAGTCTGGCAATATTCAGACTTAACTTCCAGTTTGCTTATTTTGATTCTCTCTTTTTTTTTTATATTGTCTTCATCAGTTCTTCTGTCCTTGGTCTCCAATCTAAGTAGCATAGACACTTCTTTGGTTTCACACATGTATTTCAAATCAGTACCAGCTTGGTTTTCTTAAGTGCTCGATACCAGTGGAGAAGCACTGTACTTGACCACTGAAAACCCAGAGAAGCCCTCTAACAGTTACTTGTGGGCAAGTTAATTCGAGTGATGAGAGCTGGGGATGTGCCTGGGTATTATCGCTGGGCACATGGGTATTCCCGCTCGGCAGCAGGCGCCTCGGCTCTCCTCCTCGGAGCCAAGCTCCCGCACTTGGGAACGGCTCGGGAAGGGCTCGCTGGGTGCCCTGCCTTCCGGAGAGGCTTGTGTGCGAGCAGTTACCGTATGTGCAGGACGGGTCCTCGGCCTCCTGCAGAAAAGCGCTAAGGAAGTTCCCCTGCAGCCCTGTGCAGGAGCAGAGACCAAGGTGAGCAGGAGGGAGCTGTGGCGGCAGCAGCGCCGGGGTTGGCACCGTGTGGCGCTGCCCAGACCGCACGCGCGCTCAGCAGAGCCCTTGCGGTGACGACCTGCGTCGGTAGCCGCGGCGCGGACACCCCGGCACGGGACGCATGGAGGAGCAGTGCGGGGCTTTGGATGTTCCTGCGAGCGAAGGGTTCACATGTCTGTCTGAAACTGATGTTGACTGCCAGGAACCTTCAGAAACCAGGGGAAACCTCCAGACGGAAAGGTTTGGAAATAATGTTCAGGTTTGGAAGTAATGTTCAGGTTTGGAAATAATGTTCAGGTTTGGAAATAATGTTCAGAAGTGTCTGCTGTTCTCAGCATGCTGCGTTTGACCACAAACCATACGGTCTTATGAACCTGGGCAGGCTTGAGCTTAGATTAGTGCCCTTGTACCAGTGAACAATTTAAAATATAAAACATACATTATTACATTTATCTTGTTTCGAAGATTAAGATTTTCAAAGATTTGGATTTTTTTTTGGAAAAGAGTTGAAAGCCAGACAAATGATTATCCTTCCCAAGCATCCTGTAGCATTCCACATGGTAGGCTGTTTCTAAAAGTAATTATTGAAGGTAATAGCCTTATGTACTATGTTATATTGGATTAAACAAGGTGAAGTAAGCGTATGCTAACCCTTAATGTTTTTAATGCTGCTTGTCACTGATTGATGTTTTAATACAGCATTATTATTAGGTATAAATATAAATAATCTGGAATGTTTGAGTGTATTATCGTTAATGTGCTTTTTTGTGGCGTGTATGTGTGTATATATATGACTATATACACTGTATGATTATATGAAAATATATAAAGTATAGCTATTTATAAAGCAAAGGCAGACCCCATTTTTGTATTGTAACCTTTGCAGGGCACCCTTTATGTTGAAGCTGCAGAGCCTGTGCCGGTCCCAATGAAGAACCATTTTCCCACAAGAGAAGAACAACTTCTGACACTGCAGTCGACAAGTGAGTTTGATGTCCTTGTCATAGGTGGAGGAGCAACAGGATGCGGTTGTGCTCTAGATGCAGCCACTAGAGGTGAGGCTTGGCAATAAATTGCATTTTTGTTCTCAGATTATGTGGTTTGCTGTAAGCTGATCACACCGGCTTTCAAAAGCTACATGAAAATAGAGAATATTTACCCTGAATGCCTGGCTCTGACTTCTTTCTGTGGATCTGAGATGCTAAAATGAGCTTGAAGGAACAAGCGGAGTTGTGCCTTGCTGTTTCAGCATACGCTGTGCTGCCGAGGGGCTTGCGCACAGTCGTGTACATTAACATAAGCTTTTTGCTGGTTGCTCTCGGAAGACTTTTTGTGAATTCTCCTTTGCTTCTTGCTTGGTGGGTTCATCCGTGCATGTCCATGCAGGAGAGCGCCTGCAGCAAGGATGGTGAGACCCCGCAGCCCTTCCAGCAAGGATTTGGGTGTTCCTAAGGGCTGGGCCAAGTGGGAAGTCTGGGGGAGGCATCTCCAGCTTTTTTCTTACGGCACGAGACGTCTGCAACTTCCGATAATGCTTCGTAGCCGCTCGTTTTGCTGCGGGTTCGGCGGAGCCTGTTTAGGCTTCAGTGGGACGTATGGGCACCGTGGCAGGCACGCCGCTTTCTGCCCGCGCTGGGGATCGGCCGCGCGGCTGTGGCCCAGAAAGCTGCTGGGCCCGTGATCCTGACCTAGGGCAGCACGGGGTGAGCCGGGGCAGCCTCTCGCTGGCGCCTGTGAGGGGATGAGGACGCGCGTGGGCCCGGCTCCGCACGCGGCGCCGCCGCCGCCTCATGTGGCGCTCGCAGGAGGCTGCGCCAGCGAGAGGGAGAACCAGCCTTCTTCAGGCCGGGCGCTTGTCAGCCTTTCCGTGGGGCTGAAATAAAAACGGAGAACATCCTGCCCTGCTCATGCTGTGGGGGAAAACCAATACGTAAAACGTGCAGAAATTACCACAGGTAATTCATACTTATTCTTTTTCACTATAGTCCGATTGTATCAGTAGATTTCTGAAGTGTGAAATATTCCTAGGCGTTTGGTTAATGAGTTGTGTATTGTTGCTGTTCATTCGCAGAACTTGCTCTTTTATCTTTGCTTCACTTAACAACAAATTTTGCTTTTCATGTGTTTGATACGTTTTCACCAAATTATTCCTGATTGTATCCATTAATCTTCAGTCACATATGACAAAAATAAATTACTGTGATCTTTGAAAGTTAACAGTAATAATTAGATTTAATTTTAAGGACACGAGGGCTTTGGAAGGCCAGTAGATAGTGAAATGTGTGCTCAGCAGGCGGTGATGCGGAGGCCCCTCGGTGCGTTAGCGTGCCGCGGGCGGAGGGCGGCGCGGGGCCGTGCAGGTTCGAGCCCCGGCCGCGTGAGCCACGGGCCCGCGGTATGGGCGGGCTGGCCCGGCCAGCACTAGCCAGCGTGGTCGCTGTTCGAGCTCAGCGGGGCCGTTGGATTCGTGTCTGCAGCGGCGTCCTGCCGCGCGGGGCGGCGTGTTCTCCGCGACCGCGCTGGGCCGAGCGTGGGGGAAAGCGAGGCAGCTGCTGAGGAGGCCGGGCACCGGGGCCCAGCGCGCTCTCTGCTTGTGTCTCTTGTTGGTGCACGTTCAATTTTATTGGCAAAATCAGAGTGTGACAAGTTCAGATTCGGACACAAATACAAGTAACGAACGACGAGAGTAACGGTAGCAGCGTTTATTCACAGGCTTCCCGACACAGTCGGCGGGAGTTGGTTCAGTTTGCCAGGAGGAGCGGTGATTCTCGGCGGCAGGTCGACAGGCAGCACGGACCGTGGCCTGGGGCGGGTGGCAGCAAGGCTGTGCCCGGTCCCGGCCCCGAGGTGGCTCTGGGGACACTCAGCGCAGCGTGCGAGCGCTCCTGCTCCGTCCGGCGCTCTCACACCGCCCCTGCTAAAACGCTGAGTGTCCCGTTACGTCCTGATTTCTGTGTTGCTGCTTAAGTGGTTTCCTTGGGACATGTTAAAAAGAAATTCTGTATTCTTACTTTGCAAAATAAATAAAACTTCGTTGGAGTCCTGGCCTTCCCCTGAAGTTTACTGGCTTTGCTTTCAAATCTTCCTCCAGCCACTTAACCAGTTCCTCTAGGTGTTAGGGTTTGTCACGATTTGGGTGGGTGTTTTCCAGATGAATTTTTGCAGAGCAGAACAGTGCTGTGCCGGGCTTCCCAAGGTGCGGTTGGACTGTGTGAGCCTGCGAGCCGTCCTGGGAGGACAGCCCTCCCCTCTGGGCTGTGCTGGGCACTGCTAGGCTCGGGACGCTGCTGCGGAGAGCTCGGAGTGAAAATACGCTCTCCCTGCCACGAGTGCAAACTGTAATGTGCCTGAGGGAGGCTGGCCCCGGTAAGGTGCTGTAATGCCTTTCTATTGTGAAATTCCAGGTTTTAGTGTGACACTGCTTAAGTTCTGTTTTGACTTTTCCCTTAGGAAGAGGCTAAAATTTTTCATTACAATATAGACTGTGCACTGCACCTTGAATACAAATTTATCCATGTTCAGAGTAATTTTTCTTGTGATTGTCTCTGCCCAACAGAAGTGTCTTTAATGAATTACATACAAATTGTGTAATTTAAGAAGTTAATTTGGTTTTCTGGTAACACAGGACTAAAAACAGCCCTTCTAGAAAGAGATGATTTCTCCTCGGGGACCAGCAGCAGGAGTACTAAATTGATCCATGGTGGAGTGAGGTATCTACAGAAGGCCATCATGAAGCTGGATTTTGAGCAGGTAAGTGTTTGTGCTGGCTGTTAAAGCCAAAATTGCTAGTAGACACTTTTCTCCTTTCCAAATGACATCCACATTCTCTCTCTCTCTTTCTTTTCTTTTAATCAAAAAATACAATTATTCAGCTATAGAAATTGGCATCCAATTTTTTTTCCTAAAAACTTAGTATGATTGCTTCTGTGTTTGCAGCTTAACATTAGTAGGGAACCTAACAGTGCAATTTGGAAGAAAAGCAGTGTCGTAGGAGGAAATGCAAACTTTTTATGAACCTTCTATCCATAGCGAAGAGTAACTCCACCTATTGGGCTTTGTGCTCAAATGAAAAAAATAATTGGACTGACCTGGCATGACACCAAAATGACTAGAGAAGATAACTTACTTGAGAGATTTTCTTGGTAACTCTTGAGTTTTATAGCAAAATTCATTGTGTTATACAAAAACCAGTAAGTTATGTAAAATATTTGTTTTCAGAAATTTTTTTTTTCATTAAATGTTGCATATTGTGACAAACTGACTAACTTGGAATTCACATATACCTTCTTGCTTTTCAGTACAAGATGGTGAAGGAAGCGCTTCGGGAGCGTGCAAATTTACTTGAAATAGCTCCTCATTTATCGGCTCCTCTGCCTATTATGCTGCCTGTTTACAAGTAAGCTCTGCTATGATACCTCTCCATTAGCACTGCTTTTGACAAGCAAGCTATTTCCCTGGGGGCGTTTCTAGATGCCTGTTTCAGAGCATGCTTTTAACCCCTGCAAGCTTTGTCCTGCGGGAGGTGGGAATTTGTTGCCCTGTTGTCCTCTCCTGGCTCCAGCCTAGCAGCCCTGTGCCCGGCCGTTTTCCGAGGAGCTTTGTCTTGGTGGTGGCCGGGCAGGGGAGCAGAGCTTGCACCTGGCTGAATTTCCATTCTCGAGATGGTTATTCCCTGTTCTTGCCTGTGCATCCTTGCAGTCTTCAGCACACGCTGCCACAGGGATCTGCGCAAGGTGCCCTTCTAGCACCTTGTGTTGTTGTGCTCTAATTCAGTGCTTTTGCCTTAACGGGAACGTGATAGTTTTCTACTGAGAGGAGAAATTATGTTGCATCCCCTAAGAGAAAGGGAGAATAAATAATTTCTTCAAATGGAGTGATTTGGGTTCGATTTTAGATCTGTTAGGACGGTTATTTACTGGCCCAGCCTACTTAGAGCAGCGGGCTTTTGTCGGGTGTTCTTCACATACAGCGTTGCTCCTGCCTGAAGAGGGGAGCTCCAATAGCTGGTGCTGGAGGTCGGCGGTGCGCCGTGTTTGTGTGCTGCGGTTCGAGCAGGAGACGCTCAGGACGTGCATTTGAGGAACTTGCTTAGCTCTAGCACTTACAGTAAGGTGGTTCTACCTGCAGCAAATAGTACAATCCATAGATTTAAAGCTGAAGTATGAAACTTTCCAGTCCACGCTCTAACCTGCTTTGCTCATTGCCGTGAGCAGACCCGCTGAGCACAGGAGACGTCAGCACGTAACATTACACATATTTATGCATTCATGGGATCACAGTATGATACATGGTAGTACAAAAGTAAAACTCATGTGATACAACCTACTGCGTTACTTAACACTCACTCTTGTAATATGTAATATTTTGTGGCTCGTGTGTGTCCATGCATGGTGTGTGTGTGCTTATTCCTCCATGCTAGCCTTTTCTTTTCTCTTTCTGACAGATGGTGGCAGTTGCCCTACTACTGGGTAGGAATAAAACTCTATGACCTTGTGGCTGGAAGTCAGTGTCTGAAAAACAGTTACGTCCTTAACAAGTCCAGAGCCCTGGAGTTCTTCCCCATGCTGCGCAAGGAGAAGCTTGTGGGTGCTATTGTCTACTACGACGGTATGTTCCCTGTCGGGGCTCACACTGACAGCTGTGAAAAGCACAACACTGGCTGTAGATTATGTTCATGGAGTCTAAGAGGCAGAAAAACAACCTGAAGATTCATCTTGCAACCAAACTTAGATCAGCCAAATTAATGCTTACTCTGCTCACCAAGAGAGCTCACTGAGGGCAGAAGAGATTGTATTGCTTCCTGGCTAGTAGGTATAGAGTGAAAGCAGTCTAATGGTCTGATAACTGTCCACAGCTTTCCAGCTTATATTACATGGTTTTGAGCTGCTCTTTCTGAGCAAATCCTGCACTCATGTGGCACTTGATGCTTCACTCTGTTCTGTTTATAGAAGTTAAATATCTTCACAGCAGAGACTGAATAACACAAATGATTCCTAGTCGGTTAGTAACAAAATATTGTTAAGTTTCTGAATCTTGTATTTACTTCAGTTTTAATATCCCTGTTTTTGTAAAGCCAGCACCCTTTATAGGCCACTTCTTGTAAGTGCTTGGGTTGAACGCAGCTCAGAGTAAGCACTCTTCCAAGGTACCGTGTGGGGAGATGTCTGATCACGCTGGTAATGTGCACTCGTTTGCTCCAGCACGTTTACTCTGACGTAGTTTCACACCTGTCCAGATAACTTGGCTTCCACCTGTGCTAACTGATGCTTACACGGGGTTGGGTCAGGCCTGGTTTTTACTTTCTGCGCATCTCCCTCTCCCGCAGTAGGATCGGTCAGTCACTCCAAAGAGAGAACTCTTCTTGTCACTGTCATCTAGGAGCAGGTTTTGCTATGGGCCTTGAGTGCTTCCCGTTGCAGCCGCGCTATTTAAAGGGTTCTAAGTTCCTCGGGACAAAAACGTTTCCGGCTCAAAGTTGTTAACACGTTCAATCCATTGCACGGGATTTGGTTTTAGGTATATTAGTGGGTGTAACAGTTGCACAGTATGAGTGCCCATGTTAGAGGGAGAAGCAGAGATGCTTTCTAGAAGTTTGTTGCTATTTGCAAAAGAATGGTGGTTTATAGTAGAGCTGGAGTCGCTGCAGCTGTCCCCAAGAGCAGGTTGTGCTCGGAGTGCTCGTGGTGCATGCTTGGATGCCACTGCTGCTCCTCATACAAGGACTGCTGGACTGTTATTCTGTGTCAATCCGTGGCACAAGTCTAGTGGGGAGTCCTGGCCCCACTGCACAGCAACAAGGGCCACCGTGGATCTTCCAGGAATCCTGGGAATTCCTTAAACTTAGTTTTGTTCCCTCAAATTCTACAAACAGATGAGGCAGTCCGAAAACGAAATTAGGCAATGAATAACTGGCTTTGACAAATGGCTACCTGGATATTTTGCTAGTCCAAACAAAATATTGGTGTCTTATGTCTTGATGTTTACATCTTGTGTGTTGATATACGAATGTCAGCTTAGAGATGCCTGAGTTTTATCCATTAAAGTTCTGTTCTGATTGAATAGGTGGTTGAGAACACACCACAGCTGTTTACTGTTACAACATTAGGAAGATACTTGTTTAGAAGAAAAAGTTAATCTATGAATTCCTTAGACGAAAAAAAAAATGCTTTTAAGCCTTGATGCAATAAATTGAGGATTTAGCACCAGGGTAATAATGTAGTATTTCAGTGGAAGACCTCTGTGCAGCCGTGCAGTGCAGAAGTCAGGGGATGGCGAACGTCTCCGGTTTTGTCTCCTCCCCTAGCAGTAGGAAACAGGTCCCAGTTTACGTATTAGGAATGCAAGAGGGTCAGGATAGTAATAGTAATTCTGAAATGTACACAATGAGGAAGGGTGGTTTAGTGAAGACTGAGGATTCTATAATCGCTCTGCTTATTCCTCCAATTTGGCAAGCGCTATGAAAAGCTGCCAGTTGTGCTGCTAGTGAACCTGCTTGTGTAGGCTAATGTATCTGGTCTGGGTTTACTCTCCTGAAAGGATTCTGGGTCACTACTGTGAAGTTATCCACACCCTTGTGCAGTTTGAAGAAATGTTGGTTTGCAGTTGGAAAATACCCCTCAATTGCCTGTTTACCATTGGAATGATAGTTTTTCCTGGAGGACTGAGATACCATAAGTGAGTTCATAGTATTTATTGACTGCTTTGAGCTTAAATCTAGGCCAGAGTAAAAATTCTGTAGCTAAAATGCAGCTCAAGGTTTGACACTTGGTTGCAGAATGACACCCTGGCCGTAGGAGCAGGCACCAGGGTGTTTCCTGGTGGCCCTGACCTCTATGTCTGTAGCATCCGTGGGACATGATGCATTGTAACACGCTAATTGGTTTGTCTTAATTAATCTGATCTGTTCACAGTAGACTGTTTGTTAAAGTCATAATGTGTCAGCAAACACTCTTACGACAGTTTCCAAGATCTAATTCTTGTATTCTTACCCGTACACTTCCATACCCTAACTCTGGAGGAAGGGAGGACAAAAGGGAAATGGAGCTGACCTTGGGAAATGCGAAGGGGGGTCAGGATGGACTAATATCCCTTTTGGTTCTTGCACCAGAATTCCAGTGGGAGAGTGGAGCATTAAATGATGGCAAAACATGTAAGTTTTAATGACATATCTCTGTCTTCTGTTCTTCCCCACCCTCCTCAAATACATTGGCTTTTTAAAAATGGAGTTCTACATATGTAATTAAATGTAGTTATGTCTTTTTTTTCCTTTCCTTTCTCTATCACACTTCCTTTGTATCTACAGTACTTAATAGCACCTGCTGGCAGCATCTTGCTGTTTGGCATGTTGATCATTGCCACTAACGGGAAGAATCTAATATACTGATTATGTAGCTTACTTGCTTGTTTCATAAAATACTTAGAGGTGGCAATATTCTTTTGCAAAGGAAAGATCAGAAATGCTCTTTTCTGATCAACAATTACAAAAAAAATAGTGCCTTGTCAAATAATCCATTATTCATGAATATGTTCTGTTCTGAAATGCTCCTCTTAATTACATTTAAAAAATTGTTTATACAGGCAGGAAAAAAAAAAGGAGGAAGAAAAAAAAATGGTACATTATAAATGTTGGAAGTACCAGCAATAGCAAATCGCAGCCTTTCCCAGAGGCTATTCTTGCTCTGTCTCAGCATCAGGAAACTAAAGCATATGTTGGATGTTAGCCTGGGTGTACACAATGTGTCCTATTTATTCAAGGTTTCCTTTGAAGCCACAACTTACAAGTTTGTTTCTTAGGGGTACATGTCAGACTTCATTTAGCATTTGTTGGTATTAGGATACTCCTGAATAGCAAAAAGGCAACATTTTGGGGGAAGAATGTGGCTGCTATCTGAGCAGTGATCTGTCAGTTCCATTTATGTAGCTCAAGGAAAATTGGAAGAGAGGCACCATGGAGAAGCTAACGCTGGGGTCTCACGAGCAGGAACAGAATTATTTTAAAGCATCTTAAATGAAGAATTAATCTCCATTTCAATTGTACATAACTCATTATGCTAAGAACTAGGAAAAACACCAAAGCAAAGACCCAGCTGACCAGGATATTACAATTAAGGGTTTTGAAATGCTTGCTAATTCTGAGAGGCAGAATTCTTTTTAAGGTGCATTATTTTGTATCTTCAGGTTCTTGAAGGTTTTTTTCTCCACGTATTTTGCCCTGAAAGATGAGTCTTAAGTGTCTAAGGAAAATGGGCTTTCCTGAGTCAGTCTTGAATTTAAAATTTTCAGGTGTTGTTGATCCTGCTCTGTATTGGATTTGCTGTTTATTTTGTGGGCACAGGGATGAACACGCAGTGCTCCTGTGAGCAGTGCCCGTCACCGCTGTGGCACATGGCCTTGGCTGGTTGTCACGCTGTTCCACGAACGCCCGGCGTACGCGCTGGCGGTGAGTGACAGCGCTCGGTGGAACTTACGAATTCTGCCCCAAAATATTTTAGTGCGGAGCTTATTTAAAGGTGGAAAAGCGAACCTTTCACCGAGGATTTAGCTTCCCTTGTTTACCACAAACCCCATGAGAAATCCTTCCCGGGCACACATGCACACACACAAAAATCAATGTAAAAGAGTAAAGCATTCATTAAGCTGTCAAAAATGGAATAAATGCCTTTTTTTATTATTTAGGCTGTTGTAGCTATTTTTCCTAGAATTTGAGTGTGTCCTGAATTATGAAATATTATAGCTTTATAATTCAGATTTGACAAATTAATGTTTTGAGAGCATGGGGAGCTGCAGTAGGGGTATTACCCTATTATAAATGCAGACAACTGTATGACTTTTCTTTCTTTTCTTTTTCTTCCCTGGATTTAAAAACTCTTTGACAGTTTGTGACTAAGAAGATTCTTTTTCCATAGGTGAAATACCTTGCTAACCATATTTCTTGATATTTCGCATCTGAAGCTGGATGAATTGGGGAAGTCTTGCAGGCACTCTGGCTGGAGGTGTAGCATGGAAAAGACTGCATATATCCTCCATAGCCGGGTGCTTTCAAATGTGTTTTCCCATATAATAGAGATGTATGTAAAGTCCTGAAGAAAATCAGAAGGCTGCTTCGGGAAGGCTCACGAAGGTATTACTGGCTGCCTCTGGTGGAATATGCGTAAAATGAAATACAAGTCTAAATTTGAGAAAATAGTAATATTTTTCTTATCTGAGATTAGTATAAATATTAGCGGGGAAGAGAAAAGCTTAATCTCTGTTATAAAAGGTACTTCTGAATTCCCTGATAAAATCTGTTGAGTCTCTGCTTCCTTGTAAAGCTCTTCAGTGCAAAGTCATTTGTATCGTAGAGCGCTTTATCCATCAAAGCGCTTTTTATCATTTTCAGAAGGGGTAAAATCGGTGGTTTGGACTGAGTCGCCTCTTTAACCCAGTTGTGCCCCTGTCAAGGCCGCGCGGCCGGGGCGCCCCGCGCGTTCCGCTGCGCCGCGCTTCTCCCTTCTTTTCCCTGCTCTTTTATTTTTTCCTGCTTTTTGCTGGAGGCGGCGTTCCCAAAAGCATGATAACTGCATCTCCTGCTGTACCTGTAACAATTTAATTGTGTAAGTCAGCCCAGT